GAGCTGGCGTCTGGCAAATAGTCTATGTTAGCACTGGGGACTTGACAGTCACACTGAGCCAGTACACTGCTATCAGGACATTGGTTATTCACGTATTATCAGAACGTGATGGCCGCACACAAGCATGAAGACCAATTGAACTGGCCGAAGACAAACGGAACCTCCGACTGAACAGAAATAGATAGTTTTTTAGACAAAACTCACCGATATTTTGCGAATAAAAATAGTTCCGAAGGAGGCATTAGAGTCCGCCGGTAAATATTACTCCCCAAACCGCTGAAAAAACTTTGTATTGGGGTTAAAGCTCACAAACTTCGATTGCAGAATTTTACATGAAAATCATGATGAACGAGGCTGAATCTATAGGCTTGTATTGAGCAAAAATGTGACAGCAGTTCTGAATTCCCACACAAAATACCATATAACCCGGCTTAAGCTAATCCGGGTAGCATTTGAATTATATTTGCTGAGCACAGGCACCATACGTGTTCGTAAGAGACATTTATGAATTCATCTATGGGCTCCATGCATACCGCTGACTGCATACTACTTCAAGTGCTCTCGTTAAGTGAAAAATGTAAATTGAGATACACTCAGACGAGCCAACAGAGAACACAAATAAATAACTGATACACGGATTAACTGATTGATCGCGTGGAGGTTAAATAATAATGGTAGTAGCTCAATCACAGTTGATTAATATTCCTATCCCGATTGAATAACATTATTGAGAAAAATTTACCGGATACGCATAGGGAACAATACGAGTGGTGGTCAAGCGAACGGAGCCATTAAATTGTAGGCCCTGTAATCGTGAGCTCGTCAATATTACCACCATTGCCTGACTTTCCATATTTCTGTGTACCACACGGCAACCATTTGAATGACACTTTCTCTTTCCTGAATTTTTTTGCACAATCGTGTGGTTAATAAAAGACCGCGAAAATTGAAAGAAAAAAGGAACCGCTAAGTTCACTGTCTCTAATGTCAGAGTAGGAAAATCGTATTCACTTCCGGTTTTCAAAGTAAATCCATTGAAAAGTGAACCCATAAGCATATGTCTCTAGAAAAATCACAAGGGTTTTGGAATGTATGCGTTGACCCACGTAATAAATCTCATTAAATCTCATCTGATTGGTGACCTTGTGTGTGATAAGGTGAATGAAGAATTGATTGCTCCCCAGCAGAAGAATATTTAAACTTTGCATGCCTTTCGTCAGCAACTTAGTGCATCTATCACGTTGCATGCTAGAGAAATGCCAAACTTAATTCGATTCTTCATCCTCTACGTTCCATTGTAGGGCTAGCCATTAGCATCCTATCGGACAAAAATATGTAAGTCGTTGTCCAATACAAGATATACGAACGGATAAAGAGCGATTCGCAGAAGTTCACCAACCACTGAATCTGGGTCATTCAATGTGTGAATAATCGTGAATGTCGATCAATACACCTAGGCGTGCAATAGCCACTATTACAAGTGATTTCTGCTACGTCTTTGAGACGATAATTAGAACTAGAGCAGTAGAAGTTGCTTGACTGCTTAATTTCTCAAGGCACTTCCTTAGTAGAACATTATGAAACCAAACCCGTTCAGTTGATCAACTAAAGGAGAGAAACTCAAGCTTCGTTTATCAACTGAAATCCTGTGTTAGTGTTCGTTCTTCCTGCTCCAGTTTTGGTCTTGGCCTTTCGACCCCCTCTTTCATCGATCAGTAATGATGAAAGTCGGATCGGGTGAGACGTGAAGGGTGGCACCAAGATAAACACCTGAGATAAAACAGTGCACAGAGAACGAACATTAAAGAATGCCCCGGTGTTACCTTATGTCCCAGCGCGGTTACCCATAGAATTCAAGGTCACACTGCCTGTTGGAGCCAGATGTACGATGTAGATCGTTCAAAGTTGATGATCAGTCGGATGCAGCCCATGTGACACGGAGCGTATCGCGCAGAGGGTGTGAGAACGATCACAAGGGGATCGACAGACACCAAAACATTGATCGATCCGTGAAACACGAACGATCAACTGTTCTACTATAATTGTTGTTCATAATCGATGAACCAAAAAGGGCAGATAAAAAGGTTTCATCTTCTTTGCTCGCCTTGCTATTTACTGTAAAGGAGTGAAGTGATAGTCAACTTACCATGAATGGTTTTTACACGAAACGCTGGTAACTCAACAATAAGATTAGCCATTGCCTGTTGGGCCATTTTTCGTAAATCTTCATCCACATGCAAGCACACTTTGGCCAACAACTCCAACAATTCCGGATGGCTCATATCGTTCGGAAGAAGACGGGGAATGCAGGCCACACAGGTTTTCAACAGGTCCAACTTGGGTTTTCGTTCCGCACTAAAAATCGAACAGGAGTGAAGAGAAGTTTCGAAACAAATTAACATTCAACCAGAGGAGGGAATCGATCTCTGAAGACTCACAACCAGGAATGATCTCTGAAAGGGAAGTACTATTCCAAAAAAATCAGGATTTGTCTTAAATTTTCTATTTTTCGGACAGCTTTTTCCTCTCTGTCACTTTTCCCGGTTTCGTTTTTTTCTGATCCCTCGACCCAGTTGTTTATTTCACACAGGATGAGAAAAACATAATGCAAACGTAGAACGCACAAAATGTCTACGTTCACGACAGGATCCACTATCACCAGGAACATTATAATGTGACAATTCACGTGCCTAATTCCGGACAACTACGAATTGATAGGGAATGATAAAAAGGCGAATAGGAGGGAGGTTGTCGAATTGCAAACATGTGATTCAGTTCAACGAACTATCCGGTATCAATTCCCATGGGCCAAGAGGCTGTTTCATTTATTTTTCGGAGAGAAGATCCTACAATATGTGAGATATCTGCTTCCAGAGTGCTCGTTTTGTTTTACAACCTGTCGTGAGAGAACCAGTGATTTTATCAACTGCCAGGTACAATAGCTGATACAAAGTATGAATGGAAAGCTGCATAAGATATATTTGTCCAAGACCTATAGAGAGACACGTGATTGAGATTCGGACTGGAGTGTAATCTGATTTAGCATAAATGTACTTCAACCTAGAGTGTCTTATGTCACCAGACATAAGGTGTGCATCGGACACGGTGTGTAAAGCAAACCGTTTGTTGCATAATCATACCTTTGGTAGCAAGATCACACCCATTACGAACAACTGGAACGGTTAAATGAAAAAAATAATTTTCCTTTTTCATACATGCTTCTCAAAATCTTGCGATTGCACGTTAAACTTCTCGAACTTCTCAGAGCAATGAAATGTGGTAGACTCCGATTGATGCAGGGGAAAACCTGTCATAACAATGAGCTTACACGCTATTTGATGTGCCCATAAAACGGTCCCGTGAGTTGCTGGGGCAAACTAAAATACAACGATCAGAGTGGCAGGTTTGGACTTGTTGCTCAGCCGGTTGAGTGTAAATTGTGCAGAGGCGGAGGCGGCGTCTATAGAAGTCCAATCGAAGCTTATGAAATTATCACTATTGCATTACATTAAAAATATACTGGTCATTGTCTAATGACTAACCGTAAAATCGTACGAAGCTGACTGTGGCGCATTTTCGCGTTCATTTCATAGACGAGTGTATGCGGAAATTCTTATATCCCCAAACCTATTGGAAATATTTAAGATCCCGAGTCTGTGCATCGTTTTCCACTCTTATGTGTCGTGCTTTCAGTGAAAAGGAACAGTAGTAGACTGTCTCGAAGAATTACGACGAAATCTCATAGCAATACGTGTTCCGGGTTCTACATTACTTGATACAGTAAAATCAAATCTTCTTGAGTTCAACGATACTGCGACTGAGGCAGCGACTAAATCACTGGGTCACCATCAATATCGGTATCCCAGGTGAGGAATTTCAAAAGTAAATTAATTTTTGCACATATAACATACAATTCAAATTCGACGATGTTATTTACCGTCAGAAGGACGGTATTGCGATGGGCCTCCCAATAGATCTATTGGTTGCGGACTCTTTCAAGACAATGCTAGAAAACAACACCATCAAAGCTTCTATTGAAACACTCAAGCCATAAAAACATGTTGATGATAAATTGTAATTCCTGGACGAGTACGGTAATCCCAATACGCTACCGTAAACATTCACATGCGCGAATCCAAATATTAGGTTTAATTCAGAAGAAGAAACCGACAATCAGATAGCATTTCCAGATGTTTACCTCAAACACCGCAAACGGAGGGGGGGGCTATCCAATGCTCGGTGAAGAGAAAAACCTTGGGCAGGGACAGTACAATCATGTTCGAAGTTTCACACCATTCAAAAGAAACGGAACCTGATTCAGTGCCTCGCCAAAATAGCGCATTAATCATACCTCATACAGTTAAAAACGCATAAAGGCTCCTGCGAAAGGTTTCCAAAAAATAGATCAGCTACAGTTTGAACAACCGTTAACCACGCATATTCGAGCGCCGGTTTTGGTTGCTGTCTTTTGG